ATCCTTATTCACAATATCAATTATGATTATTTGTTTCTGATTCGCGATTTAGGGAGCCTAGTTTTATGGTAGTCAGAAGTTACGATTATTTCAAAAACCTCATTATTATAAATATAAATCTACCGAGTTAAATTTAGTATTGTTTTAAATGACTTGTAGATAAGTAAAATTAATGAGATTAAAATAAAGCTGCTATGAAAACTGTATTCAATTCCATCGAGAGAAAAGAAACGACTATGGTAACTAAAAAGGACCTGCTTTCTCGCAAGTGATCTTTTCTTTATAGGTAGCCAAAAACATAGAAATGCATCATGAAACTTTTTACGAATTCTAGTTTTACAGCGTTAGAAAAAAAACACAACTAAACGTAACGAGATAAACTAAACGCTTACTTACAATTTGAACAAATGATTGTAAAACATATGTAAACTACATAGTATAAAGCAAAGTCGCTTCCCGCTGTCTGTCCCTATGTATGCTTAGATCTTTAAAACTACGCAACGGATTTTGATGAGAGTTCTTTTTAATAGATAGTGATTCAAGAGGAAGGTTTATATGTATATAATACATGCATAATATAGTAGAGAAACACTGATAACTTTAGAAGTTTTTATTGTAAGGTCGTAAATAAACACATTTTTTTTGCTTACATTGCAAACGCTGGCTGAACCCTACGAGATAGATCAATATAATGTACTACAGTATTGTACACCTTAAAAATGTCTACAAAAAATTCCGCGATAGTACATGTCTATCTCTTAGGGATAACCCACAATAACCATTTTTTATGCCGTGTGTATGCGTGCCTATTGTAATTAGGTATTAGAAGAATGTCATTGTGTATTATACAAGCCTGAGAATAAAAACTATAGTCTACACTACAGCTCTACACCGAAGCGAAGCGAGGGCGAGCCACTACTTGTATATATTTTGTAATTTTACCTATTACCAAGGCAAAATTTGGGATTCAGCGTAATGGGTAATAAGAATCATAATATCAAGTACGATATTGACAGGGAATGGAAGTTGCACAATACATACATCGATATTGTGGATAACGATTTCCTGAGTAAAATGCTTTTCTATAGTCGAAAGTGAGATGAAAGCGCATATGTTTGTGGAAAGACACTGAACGAAAGTAACATGTCGCGAGTTGAAATCGCACTCGCTAGCTCCAGGTGCGTGAGCGCTTGTTAGCTGGTGACAATGTCAGCATTAACTCAACGGACCATTTCCGTTTGTGTGCATTAATACGAGTGCGTCACGTCATAATATCATATTGGTCAATTGTCACGTGCCATATTACAAACTATAATAATAAAAGCAAAACATAACATGCAACAGTCATAGTTTCAAACAGTCTATGTCTTATAACAACATCATATTTAAAAGTGTTTCAGTTCAAAACTTCTTCATCCCGCATAACGTTAAAACCAAATGAGAAAATATCTGATGCGACTGTGTGAGAGAGATGATAGATATATAATCTATCAGATGTTACCTGTTTGTTGGAATTATTAGCGATGAAATTGTCTACTACTCAGCTAAACAGCCTCTCTCTGTAGAAGTAAAAGACTCTATCTCTAATAATTCGAATTTAGGTTATAAAACGAAAGAAAAAAAAATTTAACGTTGTGAGCTAAAAAAAATTCCTCAACTGGTAGAATACTAACTATATGGACGATTCAAAAGTGTATTATTTGTAGTGCATCCAAATTGAATAAAGATTTTTTGACTTTGAGTAGTATCTACTTTGGGACCAAATACAGGAGCTGAACTTTAGGCGATTTTTTTAATTAGCCAGTACTAAGTTATTTAATCTTGGAAATGTGATCTCATAGCACGCGAAAAAAAGCATATCATTTATATTCATAAACTAAAAACAAATAATCTTTTTATCAAAGGCACTTAAATACACATTTTTATGTATTTATGTAAAATTTTATCAAGATAATAAAAATAAATTATAACATTATTCAAAGTAGGTATAATACTGAAACAATATTACAATTCTCAGTGATTGTGCATATTAACATAGGATTACAAACTCAAATATGAGACACTGAGACATGTTACACAATATTTTTTCCGATGGAATGGTAATTTTTAACAGACTTTCCAATAAAAAACCTCCCATTCGAACCTTGTCGTGTCGTGACAGCTTGGCAATAGTAATTTTTAATATTTTCTAAATAAAACTCCCATTCAAACTCGTAATGTCATGACAGCGTAACTAACCAAATAATAACGAAACAAAGAGGAATTAACCAATTTGGTTCAAAACACACTCTGTAAAAATTTCAGCTGTCTTATTATTACGGCTCAGGAGATACCCCACTGACAGACGGACGGACGGACGGACAGCGGGGGCTTTGCAATACGCTGCCCTTGCTACTCTTTAGGTACGGAAACCTTGAAGGTAATGATAAATTACAGGTATAAGTAAACATAAAAAGGAGAGAATACGACAAATTATACTTCTGAAATAAAAAATGGGTTTCTTTTCTGTGAATAAATTCAATGCTGTACAGTACAGTCTGTTACTGCTTAGTTATGTTGGCTTCATTAGAGCAATAACTTTAAAAATAGAAACGAATCAAAAGAATCGGCATTTTTCAATAATGAAAATATTGCTTTGGCCTCTAATAAGAAACTGAAGCATAATTGCTTTAATTACAGAAACCATAGACCATGAATTATTTCTACTTTTCCCTTTGCATTTGCGAAACAAAGGACAGAAAACTTCTCTTAAGGTCATGAGGATATACGACGTTTTGCTAATTACACAAGATTTTTACGCGCCGCAAGAGAGCGCATGAAATTTTTACACAAAGACAAATCTACAAACAATAAAACAAAGAAGACACGGGACTGAAGTAATTACATACATACAGCACTTTCAGTCGCAAACTTTAATATAAATAGGACCGGAAACAAAGGAATACTGAAAAAGCTATGATTCATAAATTCACACATGAAAAATCCTACAAACAAAAATAGCTAAAATGGGAATGAGGACTCCTAAGAATATATTTAAACGTGTTATTAAAAGATTATTTTGTTTCAACGTATTTTCAGAACTATCAATATCAAGTATATAGTTGGGAGAAAACATGTCATCGCAAAATACCTTGAACCATAATTGACTCGTTTAATTGAAGATTGGGGTTGAAAATGGGGTCGTATGTTCAAAAATTGTGTGATCTCAGTCACACAATATTGATGTCTATATAAGCACATTGTATGTCTGTATGGGAAGTAAAATCACAAAACAAAGAGTAGAAAAAACGTACCTATCTCTATCAAATCAGCAAATTAAGCAATCGAAAATGAGAATTATAATTTGAGGAAACTCCAAATTTCCTGAAAGAATAGCATTAATTTCCTCAATGAAGAAACATTTAATATGAATTAAACGATCAATAATAAACGGTAATTGCACGCTAAAAAAGTTTTGTGATATTAAAAGTTCAGTAAACAATCAGGAAAGAACATTATTTCAAGTATAACATTCAGTGAAATTATCCAACTTTAAATTAAGATATTTTGATTATTGGAACAAGGATATTAGTGAAACTCCAACAAAATCTTTAAAAATGCATATGAGTACTAAATTAAAGAACCTTTTTAACTCTAGAAAAGCTTCTACTTCTGTCGAACTCATTTTATACTGAATATGATTCTGTTGAAAAGTTATCATAAGTATAACACACAGGGCAATGAGTTACACAAAATTTTAACAGATTTGTTTTCAGCGTAGATCATAGTATATTACTCATGTGACCCAATGACGTTTTCAGCTCAACTCCCGTGACGAAAGACACGTCAATAACTATCAACGAAGCTGTAAATAATGCGTCACACTCAACACAACACAACCTTCATCTGCTTTACTATTTCAATTTGTTTTTCGAACACAGTTTGTTTTGCTTGTAATTTTATTACAGCTCTAAATTTTATTGATCGAAGAACTTATACTGTAAAACTAGAAAGACTTGCTTTTAAATCATTAATATAAGTCTTTCTCGGCAAATATTAGAGGAATCAGTCATCCTCTAATATTTTTAATTCATTAACCTTTCTTTTTGTACGTTTCGGTGGCTGTAAATCTTCCTTTTCTTGATGGTGATATTTCAAGATTTCAAGTAATGATAAAAATTCATTCAATCATAAATATTTAAGTTGACGACAACATATTTATTAAAAATATATCGACAGTGGAAAAGCAAGGAAGCTGAAGCGCTACTTTAGTATCTTACAAAAATGCTTTTTGGGTTCCTGAGGGAGTCTCAATAAACTAAAGTTACTAATATTAATGAGCACTTCATCAGAACGCATTTTTTAATACTTATTAAAAAGTGGTTTTGATGAAGTGCATAAAACCGTATAAATCCTTCCGACAAGACACTACGTCTAAATTATCAATAAAGTTTTGGGATGACGATATAAGCCATTTTATTTTGGAAATATCATATACCAAATATTTTTATAGTTTTCCTGTCCTGTCCATTCCGAATCAAATAATAATATGTATTGATGCATAAGTTTGGCGGTGACATAACTCCGCATAAGATGAACTTACTCCGTAAAGAGATGTGAACTAGCCGTTGCGTAATGCTCGTGGGAATACCATGCCAATCCGGCATATATTACAAACAGACATACAGTTTTACAAACAAAAAACATGCAACACCAACAACGTGACGACAATGTTGCATTGCAAATAGAGATTGAAGTTTAAAGCATTGATTCATTAGAACATTTTAACTTAACGATAAATACTTAGTATACGACTCCTGATTAAAATTCATTTTAAAAATATCATATCTGATATCACAATAATTGCAATGTACCCATCTCATATGTAGAGACGTATAACATAATAACGTCAATAAAGTTGTCTGTAATTAGAACAGCCTCGTGTATGTGTAATCAAGGATATCTAAAACAAGTCACAAGTAAGTTCTTATGTGTTGTGCATATGCCACTGAAGGATTTACCACTACGCGAACGGTCACTATCAATCACTCTTGATGAAATAAAAGACGCGACTTTAAACAAATATTTGGAGATATCTACGCACGAACTCCTCGTGTAAATAAAATTTACAATTCGCGATCTCGTATTGTAAATATTTATGCAAACGGAGAAACACACGTCCTTCTCGCGCGCGGTCACGCGCCTTACTAAATTATTACTGATGCAAGTATAGCGTTGACTGTCGAGAGCGAAATTGGTTTCTGAACTACGAAGCCAGACGTGTGGCGAATTGAACTCACAGACGATATAATTACAGTCAACCTTTCGCTAGCTTAACGAATATTTTTTGCTCAAACATGCAAACAGGTTATGCACTAGAAATTCTCGCATGCCTAGGAAGTAAACGCGTTTTTAGTTTCTTGACCGATAGTGGCACATGACATGACTCAAGCTACTGATATCGTTAACGTAAAAGTAATACGTGCAAGTTTCTAAACAGCATAATACGAGATTTAAAGGTTTTTGTGCACATTTCTAATCAAATATGGGGTTTGACATGTTGAGTTTGCCAAGTGCTGTTAGAAAATAGGAGGTATCGTTAACTATCGTAAAACTTGCAAAGATTAGTATATAGTCATATGGTAGTAGCTAACCATCCATAGACTGAACACAATAGTCATGTCAATTCACAAATTAAGATTGTAAATCGAAGATAAGTCATTATTAAAGTAACATAATTTGTACAATAAAATATCAACACATAATATAAAAAACGAAAATAATTACGGTTCATTAGAAAAGTTTAGAACTACATACTTTGAAAAAGTAAATAAACAATTAAATTTATTAAAACTTTATAAAGACGGTCTTATCTGGAATCAACTGAGACAAGTAGATTTTTTTTCGAGTTTATGAGACTATTAAAGATCTTGAAATGTTATCAAAGTGTGAAAAATATGCAATATTTATTTTTAATTTACATTAGCCAAACATTGGACCAAAAACTGAAGAAAATAAAAGAATATTCTGAACTCGAAGTGAATGAACATGTTCATAGAACACAGAAGGCTAGTAATTGAATCTTATAATTGATAATAACTGACAAATGAAGACAAAATATATTCAGATGACGACAATTACGTGAACAGCGTCTGAGTGGCGTAGCAACAAGAATTCCGCACGGGACGTCAATGACATCAATTCTGTAGGCGTGTTCAGATGGAAATATCACCCTAAACACCGTTACTCGGGATGTTTTTAAACTCTGTATTTTTACAACTTCAGCAATAGGATATGAGTCAATTAAAACTGAAGCCAGAGACAAAAACGTAAGCATTGGTCGAAACTGCCAGTACTCTTCGTCTTGATGAATTAGAAGAAAATGTGGTAAAAATTGATCCAATCAATAATATTTTTTATTTTACTATAACAGATAAGACGAACAGACATTTGCTAACCTTTCAATTAAGCCGTAAATTATACATTATTCAATAAATAAGCTCCCTAACGATACGGAAACAATGGATTACGTGAACGGTGCGGTCACATGGCCTGACCCGAGTATGTAAGTCTACAATAATTGCCTTCATAAGGAACACTTGGCTTTTGCCCGAGCAGCTTGCTTATACTTACCCAGTTCGTGTGAATACGCCGGGTAGCGACTATGTTACAACACAATCCCTTTGGATTTAGATTAATATCTGTTTTACATGTGTCTTTGATAATTTATTAAAACTTTAAAGGGTTAAATATGTCGTACAATAATGACAGACGTGAGGTTAAGTTAATAATAAAAAAATTGGCAATCAACAATAGTCTCTCTTTATTATTGGATAAATATTCAAACATTGCAAGAATCCTATAGGTTACTGTTTCTCTAAAATATGTAATAGTAGGGAAGCCCCGGCGGGGATTTGGGAATTTACTTGAGCGAGACAGAACAACAAACCTTGTACAGTACTCCATCGCTATCAACAAACGGCCATGACTTTTCGTCCAAATTAGCAATCTTGAATAGGAATTACTATTGTGACGCGGTCAAATTTTGCCATGCAAACCGGCAGATTAATATTTTTCCGTCATCAGAAACGTTGCGTGAACTCTCCCGTAGCTTCTATTAAAAAAACTGACGATTTGGACGCGACGTTTGTTATTCTGCCGCACTCGAGTAAATCCCAAAATTCCCGGTTGGGCTATAACATCTTCCTAAGTTTGTCATCATTCGGCGTTTGTAAATGGAACCGTACAAAAATCACAAGAAGCAATTACTACCTTATTATAGAATTAATAGCTAGTACGTATTCATACATGGACTAATTAAAACCTAACAACCAGTATAACCATACACTATGCCAAGATGCCAAGTGCTGTTAGAAAATATGAGGTATCGTTACCTATTTCTTTTTCATTATGGTATCTCTAGTCTAATCAACTGAAAGAGTTTCACGATCACACTCAGCTCCGTGATAAATTGCTCTGGCTGAATTTGTTTTCATAATCGCTTTCAGGAAATGAGAGAAACTGAAATGAAATGAAATTATACTTTATACAAATTGACTTATTGAAAGCTCTTTTGAATCGTCCAATATTTTTTCCTATCAGGACATCTTTTAGCTGATAAGAATGCGCGCAAGAAACTCATCAGTATTTAACAGACGTAGCAACATTTACATACATCACACATTTTGATTGCTGTGTCATACAGTATAAATACAAACAGTGTACATATTAGTTATAATAGATAACATTTGAAGAGCTACGCAATATAGAGCAGACTCTACCAGAAGAGTAGAAAGTACTGACAAACGGTTTGATATTCATAACAAGGAACCTTTAAAATTGTATATAGTCTGAAAAGTGTGATAGATTTCCTTAACTTCACCTAAACGACTCGTGAAACTTACTTCAGGCTGTCATTATAGTATTGAATTGAAATATTCCACGATCAGTATTAAAATTAAAATTCTCTTAGATAAATACTGACAACACGTATTTAACTTAGTTAAAAACGCTACATGTATAATTTAATTATTATTTGCTTATTACTTGCTATAAATACTAATTAAATTACACATATAGCTTTTATAACTTCATTCTCGAATGACAACACGTTTTATCTAAGAGAATTTTAGTTTTAATACTGATCGTGGAATATTTCAATTCAATATTATAATGACAGCCTGAAGTAAGTTTCACATTTAGGTGGGTGAAGTTAAGTAAATCTATCACAATTTTCAGACTATATACAATTTCAAAGGTTTCTTGCTATGAATATTTTCTTATATTGATGTCCTGCTTTGTTCAAGGGCCTCGCAGAGGTATAAACAGGTCAATAAACTAAGACTATATAGCATCAACTGCAAAGGCCGTTTGAAGTGACTTTTTATATGCGACTCAATTAGCCAGACAAAGGTGAAGTCAGTGAGATAGGTCGAGAACCAACAGCACATTTATAGCCGGCATCAGGAAGCTTGACTTCTCGGCTGAGGCACGGCAACTAAGTAGGTCACAGCCCAGCCCAGGTATTGAGCTAACTAACGTACTTGTAACACATTTGAGGTAATAAGTAGTTGAAAAACAATCAAAAATAGCACAAGCAACTTTCCAAGGACGTTTTAGAACGTCGAGATCTGATGAATAGATAAAAAATGGATATCATCAGATCACATACATAGATTGCTCTGAGTAGTTAGAATACTTGTTTTTAATGGAAAACAAAAATAAATTACCTGATCTGATGGAATTCAAGACAAATCTCGTGCATAAGAATTTTCAGTTCAGGCTTTATACAAACATTGTGGTCCTAGTAGTAGCAGACAGACTGTGCAAATATGGTTGTCTGGGCTTTTTTGTTAAATCGAAAAAAATTAAACAAAAATTTCCAGTTTGTTCAAAAACAATACAGTGAACGTATCAAGGTCACCTGCACATTAAAAATAGTCACCAAGCACAAGAAAATGTTACCTGCATATCACACCGTGAAGCCGTGAATAAGTTTAAATATCTCCAGTGCTTTAATAAGTGGTATTGAGTAATGTTAACATTTAAATTTTCAACCATGAAGATTTATTTTCGGCCTGTTACTTGATACGGCTTGATAGCAATGAAAATGTTAGATTTCATTTCTTTGTGAATAAAAAATCACCCGCCGAACCCTAAGCAATGACAGAGTTCGATGAAACACAAAAAAGAAATACTAATCTTACAACTGCAAGTTCATTCTAACAATGGACTTCAATGCCTATTATTCTGCCTCGGATATACGTATCCTTTTCTTTATACTGATTGATAAGTAGTTCAGCATCAGATTAAATCTAGTTCAATATAACCCGAAGTTATCGATTGCATATTGTATTGTTTCCAAGTGTATCAAGTCTTTAAAGTTATAACCCAGAACATCCTGTACGTTGCGATGATTTGAGTCATACTAGGAGGCAGTTCTAGCTTTACAATAATAATTTATTTGCTGTCTCTAGTATTAAAAAGAATTTAAGAATTTGGAACAGCCTTCATAAATGTTTACTACGCGAAATCAAAATGGAATACTGCGAATACGAATTTGCAAACAGGGATCACTAAAAGGCAATGGAGTGATGTAATTAGATAAATAAAATTGACAATGCTAGTGCAGACGCGTCGCTCAGCTTCATTTTTTTGCAATTGTTCTTACGCCATCATCCGATAAAACGGTAATCCGGAAGCACTTGATATGCCAACGAAAGGCACGAGTCTAAGCACGAGACGATGCACTATGCAGCGTGGAGTTCAGGATTTCATCTTGTTAAGATTGATGCCTACAATACAGTGTATGCTCACGTGCATTAAAAATACATCAAACAAAACTAACTAAATAAAATAGCAAAATTATGGAGGAAGATATTAAACGAAGGAAAATTGAAAATCCCCAATTAACGCCTTTAAAAAACTTTGTAAAATAACGTAATATATTTTTTACCGGTATGTATAAGAATTGAGACAACAATTTGTTCTGATTTTTGTAAACAATTAACAATAATCAAACATAAACAAATGAATCGAATCGTACATTATTAACATTTCGAGGATTCTAGAGATTTAGTTCCAATATTTATGTAGTACAAAGAATTATCATATCAAATACAATTTTCTATCCAATATATGAATGACATACATAATCGTACTCGATACCACAGATAAAACAAAACAATGCTCAGTAGCTAATTAACTATTGCATAAAAAGTAATAAAAAGATAAGTGTTTATTCATTAGGTTGTTACCGTTACATAATACACCGCTACAAACCAATTGACCGTTTAGCATAAATATGCAATATTTAAATTTTGACTTACTAATCAAAAGGTAAAGTAAATGATATCATGAAGTGGACCTTTTTAATAAACACTCGTCGCAATAACACAAACAAATTAGTTGGCTGTTCTATTGAAGATATGTAGTTACTTGTAGTTAGGTCGTTAACCGAAAACGTTGAATATACAATAACACAACGATACCTTACCCACTTGGCAATGTCACAACTACAAATTTGGCAAGAGGTCGTGGTGCTTATAAGATAGAGGTGCATTTTAGACAAAATTTTGATTCTTCAGAAATACTAACTGAATATTTTGAAGAAATATACAGTTATTGGATGGAATAAAATTATCATTTTAGATTTAGCACAGAAATCTAAACAAACTATTTGTGGGATAAGTTTGATTAAGATTAAGGGGTTAAAGAAGTTTATTAGGCATTAAGATATACAAAACAATAACTCATCTTCGGATTCGAAAAATTAGTAAGACTTCACTGAAATATCTGAAATAATTTTTTCTAGTGTTGAATGAATAAATTCAAGAGATTTGGCTTTACAAATGCTTAACCGCTACAAAAGG